TGCTCTGCCAAGTATGAGTGAGGTTAGCTTAAATAAGGTCTGACTTAGTGGCTAAAAAGAATAATACAGTTTTACATTACAACTACTTACACAACCTGGGAATCTGTTGTCTGACCTTTAGTTACTTGGATTTCTTTTTAGTTTATTTTTTATTTAAAGCGAGAATTAATTATTTATTTTACAATATGTTTGGTAGCAGTTGCATCATCCTTCATGTACCATAACTGATTTTAAAAAATTCAGGTAGATATTATTTGTATTGCGGTAGCACATAGGAGCCCTACTCATTAATTACTGACCCACTGTACTCTCTATACAAACACGGAACAAAAAGACAGTCCTTACACAAAAGAGTTTATAACCTATCATTTTATTCTAAATGCAAATGTAAACACTGACAGATTGTTTCAACCAGGGAGAAACTGCAGAGTGTCATGTAACATTCCAGAAGCCTTTTCAAACACATTGGATCCACTCCGCCTATACACACCAAAACTATGCCTACCTGCATTTCCAGAATTCAGTACATTCACTCATCAAGATGTTCTGGATATCCTAAAGGAGTCTCAACCCACTTGACCCATAACTTTCCTGGCTTGTGAAAGAGAGTTATGAACAACTAGTGCCAGTATTCTATTCTATATAAGTTTTTATACTGCACTCATCACATATTTGAGCACCTTTCAGCAGTACATTAAGCAACATGACTACACGTCTGTCACAGGCTTGTTCTCTCATCCTCTCCCCAAAGGGAGACGCGTATGCTGATGAGTGTTTTGGTTTGATAGGGGATTTTTAACTTATTATTAGTTAAATATACCTGTTGGTCGGTGTTTATACTAGAGAAGGCCAGGTCAAAGAAATGTGCCTTGCACTTGAAGTGGAAAGTGGTGAGATTTGTGGTACAGTTCTCAGGGGAGTTCATCCTTCAGTCCCATTTCCTCTCCCACACTGAGCATTATTCTTATTGTTGAGAGTTCCATTGTGCCAGAGGAGTAAAGTTATCGATCGTGGTCTTTGTTTTGGAACTTTAGATGATCTTTTAGATATCCTGGGCCAAGGTCAGACACAGCTTTGAAGATAAGGACCAAGACCCTTGAACTTGATTCAAAATTCTATGGAAAGCTAGTGTAGAGAGTGGAGGGAAGGTATGATGTACTCATGGTAGTATGTATTGCTAAGGAGATGCACTGCATTATTTCTTACTAGTTTGAGTTTCTTAAATGCTGACAGTTTCATGCCTTGGCATATCACATTGCTGTTGCCCAGCCAAGATGAAGGCAAGAATAACTGAAGCCAGGTCTTCATCCACCAGAAAGGGATGGAGTCTTCTAGACAACAGGAGATGGCAGAAAGCATTACTCACAACCATTAGTAACCAAAATAGCCAATGCCTCAGTCAGAGAAGGAATCTTCCCTACTTCTATCAAATGTGCAACAGTGTGACCAACACTGAAGAAACCCACCCTAAACTCTTCCATTCTAGCCAACTGTTGCCCATTGTCAAACCTCCCATTCCCTAGCAAGCTGACAGAGATGATAGCAAAAGGCCAACTACAAGCTCATCTAACTGAAGCTGACATTCTAGACCCAACAGTATCTGAATTTAAGCCAGAACAAAGAACCAAAACTGCTGTAGTGGCACTGTTGGGTGATTTCTTCCTGTCAATGGAGGAGAGGGCAGACATCCATTTTTACCCTTCTTGACCTCTGCAGAATTTGACACTGTTGACCATGAGAGTCTGCTGATTCACAGGCGAGAGATATCAGGAGTCCAGCCTAATGCACTAAAATGGTTTGAATCCTTCCTGAAGGTATGCACCCAACGAGCAGAGATGGAAAAGTGCACCTCCATCATCAAACCTCACTTGTGGAGTTCCACAAGGATCAACTCTCTCTTCAGTCCTTTTCAACATCTACCTGCAACCACTAACTTAACTGGTCAGAAAACATGGATTCAGGTGCCAGCAATATGCAGATGATACACAGTTCTGCCTATCGTTCACTGCATATGACCACTTCACTACCACCAACATGGATAAGATCAGCTCATGGATGAAGAACAGCTGCTGAAGCTGGACTCGAGCAAAACAGAGTTGATGCTGGTGGGCAGAGGAAAATATTCTGAATAGCTGTGAAGTCTCCATTGGCTAAAGATACACACCCACAATTCTTCATTTCAGTCCAGAGTGTAGAAGGGAAGTTGGATTGCTTACTGATGCTACACTCTCACATAGAAAGCACTACTCGTGGATGCTGCTACCAGCTTGGCTAGGAAACTTCATCTGTTCCTGATGGACAAAGACCTGGATTCAGTTATTCATATCTTTGTCACCTCTCAGCTGGACTACAGCAGTGCAATATATCTGGGCATGAAGCCTTCAGCACTTAGAGAACTCAAACTACTACAGAACCTGCAGCATGTCTCCTCAGTTAGCACAGGTTACTGTGAGCACATCAGATCTGTCCTCTACTCTCTACAGTGACTTCCCATAGAATTTTTAATGAAGTTTAAGATCTCAGTCCTTATCCTCAAAGTGCTCCATGGCCTGGGCCAGGATATCTAAACGATCATCTCAAGCTCCGGGGTGAAGACTGTTGTCAATAATTGTGCTCCTCTGATGCAATGGAACTCTCAACAATAAGAGTAAAGCTCCTCTATGTGGGAGACAGAACTTTCTCCAGGGGTGGTCCTAGACTATGGAATAAATTCCTCCAAGAACTAAGGACCTTCACAAACCTCATCACTTACCACTCCAAGTGCAAGGCACATTTCTGGTCTTCTCTAATATAAACACAAAGCAACAGGTTTGCATATAATACAAAACAAAACAAAACCACATACTACCAAACTAAAACTCTCCTCTGCACATGCTTTGCCCTCTAGGGAGAGGATGAGAGAAAAAACAACACATAACAGATACATAGTCATGCTGGTTAATGCAGTACTGGAAGGCACTCTAGTACTGCGGCACGGTATTAGAATAGAATAGAATAGAATAGAGAGACTTATTGTGATTTTCCGTAACAATAGCGCACATTCACACTACAGGAGATAGAAGATTAGCATTTTGGGGTCTAAAAATCAAATTCTCCTCTTAAAGAGAGCTAAGTAATTTTTCATCAAGACTACTGATTAAATGATTTTTCTACACCAGATTTCTTGTTATCAAAAGGGAATTTGTAGTGGTAGAGTGGCATAGCTCAGTATATGCTTTTGACACTGTGTAATGGAACCATCACACTCCCCTGAGGGTTGGGGGGGGGTCACAGCCCACTTAAGTCAGGTGCAAAAAAAAGAAGAAAAAACATTCCCGACTCAATACAGGAAAATAAGTCTGCTTCCTTTGGCCACAGATCCAAATACAACACAAATGCACAGCTCCTTCCTTCCACCTAGTCCGACTGCTCACAAACCACACAGGGCTGTTTCTTTCAGCCAAGAATTCACTTTGGAAAAACAAAAAGTAGTTTTTACTGTGATTACAATCCCTGGGTCTCAGCACAGTCCTCCTTCATTCAAGCCAGGCAGTTCCTCCTTTGCCCTAGCTGGACTTTGGCTCAGAATCTGCTAGGCTAGGAGCAGCCCTGAGAGCAGCTCCTCTGCTTTCACAGCAGCACTTCTTTCACTCCCCACACCACTAGACGTATCTGATTCTTTTTTATGATTCCCCCCAGTCCAGAGAAACAATTAGTTCCATCTCGCAAGAGCTGAACTAGCCATAGCTACCAGCTCTGCTCTCCAGGTCTGGCTGCTCAGGCAACCTTTAAGAACACAGAACCCGTCACAGTGACTTCACCTGTTTACAGCAAATGAAGCAGGAAAATGTGCTTGCTAACTGCTTTAACCACCAAGTCTGAGGAAACATAGGGAATGTTCCACCAAAAGTGGAACAGACTGACTGACAGTGAAGATATTGGTCCTGTGTGTGCCAATTCAGTAGACACAAGTGTACTAACATCAGCTTAGTAGGCCAAACAATAAGACAATAAGATGAAAACTATTAGAAATCCAGGTGGAAAATGATTTCTTAACTGTGCTCTCTAAAGTCCTGGGGAAAAGATCGGAGGGATGTTTTACAATGTTACCCATTAAGCACTGTGAGAAGGATTGCTTGTCCATCTTTTCTATCCCTCACAGTGTGACTGTGCCAGCACTCTAACAATTCATCTAACCTTTCAAGACAAATGAAAACTGATGGGCTGATCTGCATCTTTTCCTCAATAAGGAAGTGGCTGAGCATCATAAGCAATGGGTAGAACAAGGACTAGCCATCACTGATAAGAAAAGGAGCTAGCAGTGGAGCAAAACAATATGTCTTGATAGACATTTTTCTCCTCATCCAGCTATAAAATATTGTAGCCAAAGCAAAATCTAAACCTACTAACACTTAGTTATCTTCAGATGAAGACAAAACTGCTTTGAGATTCAAATGTAACATTTTAAAAAAGAGAATCAATTGTCAGCAGTTGAAACTCACATTTTTAAACATTAAATCTTATAGAAAACGACAATGAAAAAATAGTTTCTGATCACTTGATCTAATGTAAACCTATGACTAAATTAGTAATAATATATTAAATGCTCTGAATGTATAACATTTGAATATGAAATAACTCATCAAGAAGCAGCCATTTTCTTAGCTGCATTTTGTTTATTGAGACAGGAAGTCAAGAGCTATGTATAAAGATATGGGAAAGGGTAGAAATTTTCTGTTTTTAAGGTAGGTCTTGGATTTTTTTCAGGGAGATATGTTATATGGATATAGATACGAACACTTCCTTCCACTTCCAAAAAAATCTGAATACATATTTGTAACTATGTAAAGAAATATTAAAATCACTGAAGTTTTCTATTAAGAAATAAGGGGAAATATTTGGCAAAAATGTAATATTCTGCCTTAAGGGGATGGAGGGGGGAAAATGCTATATATATTTCTGCCACCTACAAAAGTCTTAACAAACCATCATATTGCCATCAAGGAAGCTAAAATACTCACCTGTTCAATCTCTTTGGTTTTTGTTGCAATTGCTTTTGAGCGGCCAAGAAGCTGGTTGTCTTCATACAATTCTGTACTATCTGTTATATTTGTCTCTGTTTCTTCTGTCCGTTCAACATATAATGGAGCTGAGGACCCCGCCTTAAAAAAAATAAGTAATATTAACATTTTTGCTCTAGCTGCATTAAGTTCTATTTGATACAATTACTCAAATACCATTTCACTCTTTTTCAGAAATTTCTCAGTACAAAATTTTTACCACAGAAATTTGAAAATTACACTTATGGATATGACATCAACAAATAGTTAATTTATGAAAATTTACACTTTTAGTGAAATTCAAAAATGCTCTGTGAATCAGTCCCTTGATCATGTTGGACATCCCTATCAGAATCATTTACTTGCCCTTTGTCTGAGAAAGAAGTTGGAGAAATGATACTGATAATAACAGCAATGTCAAAACTAGAAATCAACAATGAGGGGTGTGGTGAATCTGCTACAGGCCACCAAGCAGGATTACAGGATTGAAAACTTCATGGAAGAACTCTTGTGGCATTCAATTGTACAGGATAAATATTGATGGGGGGATTTAACTACCTAGATATTTGTTGAGCAACAAATAAAAACATGCACCAAGCGGATTCCTAAATTAATTAGAAGATGACTTATGAAAATACTAACAATGTGCATGGAGTTGTCCAAGATGGAAAATATAGACTGTTCATGACCCATAGAGTTTAGACGTCAACTAGAAAAAGCCATCTAAATTTACTCTGTACTGATAGGAAGGAAATGATTGAGAATGTGAGGATAACAGGGAAGCTGAGAAATAATGACTACAAGGTACTTGAATGCACCATCATATAGAAATGGGTTCACAGAACAGTATTGTTAAAGGGTGATTAGATTTTATAAATGCAAAATTGATGAAGAAATCTAGTAAGGCTTGACAGAAGTACTGTCCATTGTGGGAGACGAAGGGGGAATAATAAGACATCATAATTAATAGGAAGAACACAAGAAAAAGAAACAGCTAGCATAGTCCTGAGGGCCTGTTTAAAACTCTTGAGACAATATAGATAATTAAAAAAGCACAGTAAATACTGTTACTGTATTAAATCTTGTAATGTTGTCTCCCATTCATTTGAAAGGGAGTTAAGCATGCTAAAAAAACGTTAATTCAAATAAAAATAGTTCAAACAACATTAAGAAGCAAACCAAAAAAATTGATATTAGGAAAAATCTAAAGCAGCCGTTATGTTTATAGCTCATTTTGTTGAGCCCAGGTACTGCAGCACAAAATGTTAGCCAATATTTTGATAAGGGAACAAACACAGCCCTGGCTTGGAAAATTTCTTCAATACCTCATAGTCAGAGAACTAAACTGATAAACCTTGGTGAAAAGTACCTATGCTGCGATACCTCCCCTCAAAGCCTCAGCCCAACCCCAACCCCCGCCCCAGCTATTTAATTTACATTCCCACATTTTCATTTTCCAAACCAATAGATCAACTCTGTCTCCTGCAAAATTCTATCCTAAGTTAAACAAATTCCTGGCTCCCCCCCACACCCCGATTCTCTCTCTTTCTGCTTTACAGAGCTGATGTGCAGAAAGGCCTTGGCTTCGCAGCAGTTCTCCAGTATGCCACTCTGTTTCTTCTTCTCTCACTCTTCCCTCCTCTCCTCTTAGAAAAATGTCATTTTGTTTTCCTCTAAGAACAGCAGCTTCTGCTGGTCTGTTCTCTGCCTCCACTCTTGTTGAAAGAGCAGTAACACTTGGACCACTCTGCTGCTCCTTTCCTGGAGGGGACCAATGGCTCATTTACATTACTCAACCCACTTGCCCAGTTAAAATTTTCAACCTCCCAAGGTGAACTATACATATTGTACACTATGCAAATGCTCAGATACTATAGTGCTGGGCACAGCCTTAAACCCTAGATAGATGTAAACTTTGACTCAATCAGTTGAATTTTGGAGACATTATATTTGACTTATAGTATTGTACTATACTATTTCATGGATTATTATTAAAGGACATTTTATCTTCAGAATAAACAACGTTAGGAACAAGAAATTGCCATCCAGGCCTACGTGACCAGTAGCTCAGCATTAATTGGTTTATCTGAAGGCCTAGATTTATTTTGTGATGGGGCATTATATTTGGTATGGGGGGGAAGGGCAAGGGCACTAGAAGAACTAGCATGAAACAGGTGCACAGCAGGAGATAAGGCCTTCGGTCCCAAGAAGTGTTGGGGAGATGGGAGAGCAGAGGCAAAGGGGCAGCACAGCTTGCGGCCCCAACGTATTTCAATCTGCCAAATAGGCTTAGTTCTGGGGCTAGTAGGTATTGTGATGTAACTTCTCCTGCTCTGTATACCTGCATACACACACAAGCACCCTCTTTACAATCTTTGTGAACATTGCTATTTCACTAAAGTAATACTAGGTAAGAGAGGCAGAACTGTGACATGTTTTGCTCCGTACTTCCTGGAGATGCACTGAGTTAGCTTCAGGGTCTGCTAAGTCTTCCACATGGTCCAGTACAAAACATCTACAATTTTACAAACAACATTCTAAATAATAAATATAAAACACACAAACTTAATATAGTAATCATTTCTGTGTAAGAAGAAAGATTAAGTGCATCATAATAATGACAATAACTACAAGAAAAAAGGATTATTCCTTCAATCTAATTCTTTTTAATGCCAGAAGTATGAAAACCACAGAAGAGTATTTCAAGAAACCATACACAGACTGTTTTTTTATTTCCAAATTATTTACACATACATGTAACACACACATATACTAACTATGTATTTACACAGAAGGACTCATCTGAATTTAACATTCTGAGCAGAAGTTTCCTATGCAGGAAAGAACCAAATTATTCGTAGGACTTTATATAAACAGTAAGTGCTACTTTATTTTTCTCTAAAATGACTAACTGTAGAATCTAATTCATTCATATTAATTACTGGAAAACCTACTACAAATTATCAAATTTTGTCTCTCAAAATTCCCTTGAATCATAGAAACATAGAAGATTAAGGTTGGACACCTCAGGAGGTCATCAAAGCAGGACCAACACCAACTAAATCATCCCAGCCAGGGCTTTGTCAAACCGGGCCTTAAAAACCGCTAAGGATGGAGATTCCACCACCTCCCTAGGTAACCCATTCCAGTGCTTCACCACCCTCCTAGTGAAATAGTGTTTCCTAATATCCAACCTAGACCTCCCCCACTGCAACTTCAGATCATTGCTTCTTATTCTGTCATCTGCCACCACTGAGAATAGCCTAGCTCCATCCTCTTTGGAACCCCTCCCCCGCCTTCAGGTAGTTGAAGGCTGCTATCAAATCCCCCCTCACTCTTCTCTTCTGCAGACTAAATAACCCCAGTTCCCTCAGCCTCTCCTCGTAAGTCATGTGCCCCAGACCCCTAATCATTTTTGTTGCTTGCTCATTTAGGACCCAATCCTACAAGGAGCTTAAATGAGAGAGCAGGGGTCCGCCAGCACAGGGCTTCCTGCAGGTTTGGAGTCTTTTCGTTCAATGTATCCATTTTAGTTCAACGTTAATTCATACTATGCTAACAAACTATGTAAATTTTTCAAAAATAATTAAATCTCAGAAACACAAGATCTCACTACAGCATCCTCCTATTAAATATTTTCTGAAAGGCTGAGCTCTACTATCAACTCTTTGCTGAATTGCATATTTCATAAATCATAAAGTGCAGATATGCAAAATGTTAAAGTTGCAATATTTTAAAATAAATATATGAATGTATCAGTCTTACATCATATTCAGTAATTTCAGGTAAATTGCTTTCATCAGCCTTCTCTGATTTTTCAGCTGCCCATTTGCTTGCAGCCTCTGCAAGTTCCTTTTCAGACAACCTGCTGCTTTTATCCAAGACCTATACAAAAAAATGAATGTTACAGGTTAGATTTAATATAAAAATACCTTGAAAAGTTCAAAGAAGCAATTATTCAGAATCAGAAACAATATTTTCAAAATGGGAAATAAACCGTGGAAGTCATGTTTGTCTATTGGACGAAGAATTAGAAAAATTCCCAAACCAAAGAACATGCATTTTACTAAACTAAAAAAAGGGCAAACTTTTCAGACTTACTTTTATTAAGGTCAAGGGAAACTAGGCAAAGTTATGTAGCAGAGATAATGAAAAAGTGTTGATTTAAGACTTTGGAAATAAATTAAAAAGATAAAGAGATCAAAGGAAAGCGATGTATAAATATACAAAAAGGAGAAGTTAGAGCAAATGTAAGATTTGCTCTGTCTGGTTTGCAAGGCTATAAACAAATCTAAATACAAATAAAGGATAAGTATTGTATACAATACACAAAGGAATCTAAGTTAGTTTGTCTTTTTCATCTACAGAAGTTGATTCAATAAAAGATACCATCTCATCCACCTTGCCTCTAAGTTAATTATAGCAATCAGGAGACTATTCTGTAAATTATTTAAGTTATCAGAAAACTGCCTTCATTAAGACCACTAATTTTTTAGGTGAAAATGTGGATAACATAGAATACAAGATATCAATGTTTTGGGGTCTTTTTAATCTATCTTTTCAAATGGAAATGGTCACATCAATAGTGTTTTAGAAATGGTCTCCTACTAAGTGCATGACCTTGATTGTTTTGTTATTGTGAGTGGTATCCATTACAAACATCCATGTACACAGGAAACACCCAGTAAGGAACAGCTAGCTCCCCAGATCTTGCTTCAACCTAGTGTATATTTTATGTACATATTATTTATAGAAGTGTGTTCATCTAAGACTCTTGGGTGTATGTATAATTATATTTTAAAAAAAACTACACTACGAATTAAAACCAAAGTCCAAAAATGGTAAGAGTTTTCTAGATTCTCTGAAGTTTTGCTACTTGTCTCACTCTTACCAAAAAAACCCCCCCCAAAAACCACAAACTGAAAACAAGTGTGCCTTACACCATGACTTGAAGGTCAATAAATTTAGAATCTGACGAAATGGTAGGCAAAGCAAATTCTACAATGAGGACCCACAATAAGACTACTTCTCCGGACTCCTCATGATTACACCCACAGACTCGGTTCTCAACTCCATGGTATCACACAGAAATAGAATTGCTCTCTGAAGTAAAAAGGATCAAATCCCCGTTAGGCTTTACAAATTAAAGTTAACAGCTTTGGTTGAACTCAGAAAAGAACTGGAAACTACTGTGGATCATGGAGTACTGGTGCAGTGTTCTCTCTTTTGTATGTAATCGTTACAGAAGTCAGGAGGCATTGCAAAGAGAGAGGAGTCTGAGGTGCATGGGAAGGGAGGTGATAGATCTCCTCCTCCTCCCCTAGCACACTAGCTCATAAAGTGAGCAGCCCAATCCATTTTTCCCAGCTGCTCAAAGATTCCTGTACATCCCCCAGGAGCAAATATCCAATCTTTCCAAGATGCTCGATTTTTCTATATTCTTTTTTTTGTAGGAAAGAACACTTTCAACCTGACTCCTCCTCAGTCTCCAAAAACATCCTGTACTATAGCTCCATTACAATCTCCTCCCTTTCCTTGATTGAAGTCCTTGACAATATTTTAAAATAAAATTTTACCCTTGTATTTGTCAATGATAACCAGCTCTGCATGATATGAAGGTAAATTCATATTCACACCATTTATATCATTTCAACAACCCACAAACAGGAATTCGTAGGATATCAATATCCATGGATTACAACAAAGAGAATATGGCTCAAAAATATGCAATTGAATTCTTATAAATCATAAGTAAGGCTACCATTCTGTCACAAAGGTCACAGAATCTGTGATTTCCAGTGACCTCTGTGACACTGGGGGCCCCACACAGCTGACCAGCCGCCCTATAGTGTGAAAAAAATGTTATCTGGCTGAATGCGCTACTTAGGGTGTACGGAGCATGCTCACATGAACTGAGCATGCTCAGCAACATCCGCTGAAACCAGCAGTGGGGGACCCCGACAGCAGCCCAGCCTCCGCAGGGGACCCCTGCAACTGACTGGCTGCCAGCGCTGGTGGGGACCCCTGAGATCCCCAGCTGCCACCACTGGCAGGGCTCCCCCTTGCAGCTGCTCAGCCACCGCAAGCAGCCAGTCCCTGCAGCTCCCAGCTGCTGCAGGCAGAGGAGGGGCAGGGTGCTGAACCCTCCTCCCTCTCCATTATGTCAGGTATGTTTTTAGTCACAGCTTCCGTGATTTTCTGTTTCTTGCCGGTGACCTGTCCATGATTTTAACTAAAAATATCCATGACAAAATCGTAGCCTTAATCAAAAGTCAATAAATGTATATATAAAGAAATCGCCAGTACACTAAGTGTAACACAAAAGTAAAAAGATCCAAGGAGGTTTAAGTTACAGTGAACTAAATTTAAAACCATTTTCCTTCTGAATGAAAGCATCCACACAGGATGTAATATGCTATAACTTATACATATTGACTAATCACCTTAACTGTCCAAAAAACTTTCCGCATGTAGAGAAGCCATCTGTGCGAGTTGCCATTTAATTGATACTTTCCCAACACAAGTCAAGTTTCCTAATAAAAACAGGACTTAGATACTATTTTATAATTAGAAAAGAATGTAAAGCAGAAATCTTCGAAGTTCTTATAAGAAGTTCTAATTCAAGAGCTGTGAATATTGCCAAACTTTTTTTTAAGTATGCAAAATAAAACTCTAAAGTCCTTTCTCAAGCAGGCTGCATAATTAAAAAAAATAAACCTGTTTTGTTACATAAATAGATTTCACAGCCTAGTTCCTATAGTCTTGTTATAAGAGGAAGGCAACACAGGTGCAAACATTGCCCTATTCCACAGCCCCAGCTAATGCCGAGGGTAAGTGGAAACCCAGGAAGAAGCGGAGATGTTATTTTTGGGGAGGCAAATTAGCTACAGAGGTGGCGAATTTATCATCTAAAAGAAGTCTTAAGTCCATTTTCGTTAGCTTAAACAGAGCTCTATATATCTTGCTATATACTTATACTGTAAGATCTTTGGGGTAGAGATGGTCTTTTTGTTATGTCTGTATAGAGTCTAGTATAATGGGGTCCTGAGCACTACCACAATACAGAGAACAAATATACTATCCCTACCTGTTCCTGCAGGCCCACTGTTTTAAAAATAATGTGCTAAACAAATTATATATATAAATATGCATATGTGCTGATATGCACATGTACATAAATAAACAATATAAAACTATATAGCCAAAAATAAGGAAGTAAGTCAAACAGCATTAAGTGGTGTGTTGGAAGCACAATTTAGATTTTTAACAATGAAGTATAAGACTTAGCTTTTGAATTATTTTCCATTTGTCATCTTATACCATAATTTTAACAGAATTTTGCATTTAATCATTTGTAACTGCATCAAACTCAATTTATACAAGATTTAAACTAGTTTAAGTGTGTCCATAAAACAAATTAAAAAAAATGATTTTAGCTAAACCTGCGCAAATTTTGGGTGTTAAATAGTCTGTATCTCAGTTCCCACATCTGTAAAGTTAAGAGACTAAGGCTGTGTCTACACTGGCAATTGAACGACAAAACTTTTGTCTTTCAGAGGTGTTAAAGCCAGCCCCCGCCTCCCCGAAAGACAAGAGTTTTGCCGCAACAAGTGCCAGTGTGAACAGCGTGTTGTCGGCAAGAGCGCTTTCCTGCCAACAATGCAAACACCGCTCATTGGGGGCGGAAGTTTTTTGTTGGCAGAAGAGCCAACAAACAGTGGCTACACGGCGCGTCTTTTAGCGGCACAGCCCTGTCGCTAAAAGCTGTATAGTGTAGATGTAGCCTATCACTCACATATCCCAGAGGGGTGTTGAGAATCAGTTAATGTTAGCACACTAGTTTGAAAATCATGAAGAACTGCATAAGTGTGAAGGAATGGCAGAGCACTGCAGAAGTCTGATCAGTCCTTTCAATTAACCGTTTTCGCCTTTCACACCTTTTTTCAAAAACACTAGTTAGTCTTTCGCTCGGGATTTCCATGGCTTTTAGTATTTCAAGGGAAAGTTTTCTTAATTGTCTAAAAAGTGAACTCAGAAGCTGTGGGGGATGCCATTTTCTTTAAGGTCCTGTTCACTCTAAATATCGTGTCCACATTTCTTCTTACTCCAGGAGAAGCCATTGAATACAATGAAACATTTTGCTTGCTTAGTGGCAAAACACACTGCCTCTGACTGTCAAACAAGAAGATAGGAATCTGAATTTAACTTGGATCGTCTCATGGGAAGTACCACTATTAAAAACAAAAACAACAGAAACATAGTTCACCTTTGAAGAGGGTACTGCTGTGGAACCTGATGGGGATGCATCTCTTGACGTTTTCAGTGACTGAGCAGAAGCTCTCTCTTTACCTATAAAAAAAGAATAGTTACAATTTTATTCAAGCTGTGTTCTCTCTCCTCCTCCATCCCCTCCCCCCCCCACACACACAGGAGTGTGCGCACCTTGCAAAACTGTAATGAAAATTCACCAGGCCATGCACAAAACCTATCTCCTCATTCTTTGATGATGATAATAATCTAATGATATTCTACTTGCTTATCAAAAATAAAATTGTCTCTGGCTAAGAAGATGAATAGTAGCATTTTATAAAGCTGACATTTATCCTGAGAAAGCCTAGTTTTCTTATTTCCATTATTTAACTGGAAGAATATTTCAGTTTGAGATTGTTGGATATTGTTCTATATTCCTGTAAGAAGTGAAATGAGGAATTCTACATCTTTTCAGTGTTAAACATCGTGATCAGTCACCAATCATAGGACCAAAACCAAAGCTTGGGAAACTGGGTATTCACAAGGGTAGGTTTAGCAGTATAATAGGAAATCCAGCAAAGCAATAAACCCACAAAGTCCCAATGACAGGTAGGGATCTCTTTTTAGCATCAGAGTCTTACTTCTCAATGTTCATGCCAACAAAATTAAAACAGGAACAACTAGAAGCTACTGTTCAAAATGCAGTCATGAATAACCTTTGCCAAATGTCCATTATGGGAAGCCTGCAGCAGCAAAATACTTGGCAAAAGCGTAGACTAATACTTGTCATATATTTAATTAGAAAGAGAAATCAATTGAAAGTAACCTTCATTTATTAAATATTTTTAAAAACCCTGATGTGAATTACTTTAACAAAACTAATGACAACTAAATAAGTCTGTAACTGAAGTACCCAAGTAATGATACATAGCACAATGGGTCATGTCTAGTGAGCTATTTACTTTGTATGTTGCAAGATGATGTAAATTAAGAATGCACCCACCATTGTGCATTTTTAAATACCAATATCTAAAAGAATTAAGAAACTGAAATGTAAATAAATAGATCTGGAATGTTAAAAAAAGAAACCTTTGTAAGTTGCCCCTTTTCTGTCTCCACAGATTTTCAGGATACTCTGGCTACAAAGGATAGAATTTAACATCAACCTAACTGGTTGAGGAAAAAGGAAGACCAAACAAGCAAGTGACAGCTGCTCCCCAATTGCAACAAGATACAAAAAGCAGCTGCCTTAGCGGTTTCATATTTTATCTGATCATTCAGTATAGCCCTTCAAGATATCCTCCATACTTGTCCATACAGTAGAAACTGTTTATCTTGTCTGTATTATTTTACTCTCAACGACAGTGGTCATCACCTTCCTTTTGCTAATATAATTACTTTATTGCTTTTCTCAGGTCAAAACAATAGCCTACTGTACCTCTCAAAAAGAAGAACAGGAGTACTTGTGGCACCTTAGAGACTAACAAATTTATTAGAGCATAAGCTTTTTAGTCTCTAAAGTGCCACAAGTACTCCTGTTCTTCTTTTTGCGGATACAGACTAACACGGCTGTTACTCTGAAACTTGTACCTCTCAACTACACCTAACTGAGGCAAGTAATTTTTTTATACATATATTTAACTTTGTTCCACAAGAAGGCCCTGATCCTGCAAGCTGCTCCAGGTGGAGAGGCCCCCTCTACCCACCTTTATGAAACTACCCCCCTTTAAACTCACCAAATGACCCCTGAATCTTTCCATCTGCACATCCCCTTCACCACATTACACCCTCTAAACACCATCAGCTGGGTATTCAGTGAAACTGGATGGGAAAGTTTGGTAAAAGGGATGCTAGAAAAATAATAAATCACTTTTTTAAAAATACCTGCCTTCTGATTTTTCAGCCTTTAGGAAAGCTACCCACCCTGAATGTGAGAGGGATCATTACAAGTTCAAAATTCAACCTTAAATGCATAGACAAATGTGAGCATTTCCCCAATGGCTTGGAGGGGACTCCACTTACTCTCTCCTATGCTCTAAGATGAAGGAGCTGCCATTCTACTTTTCTCTTCATACCTGGGAGAGGAAAACCATTCAATTTCTCTCCATCCTCTCCCACCACAGTACTATCCTAATTCCCTATTGATTGCCCCACACCACATACCCTCTAAGTTTCCATCTTTATGCCATTCAGTTTTCTGCTCCACTCACGTTCTCCCTTCCTGTTCCTCCTTAGCCTGTTTTCCATATGGCCTTTCATATTTGTCCTCCTTTACCCCTCAACCTCCCGTACCTCATATTCCCCTGCCCTTCAGGCTCTCTCCTGCATCCCTCCAATTCACCAGATCTACTCAACATTACTATCTTTACCAAATTGTGCAGACAGAAAATGTTGTTTTAACGGATACATGTTGACAATAAAACATTTCAGAACAAGATTTCAGAAAGGGCCCAAATTTATAAATGATGAAATCTACATAGTAAATTAAAAGAACAAAACAACTAACCATGTGAAGTATCACATTGAAAAGCTACTTAAACGGACAGAAAAACAAATGTATGCCTCATTTTAAGCCTATTTCAGAACCTAATTTTAACTATAAAGTCACAACCAGCAACCTAATAGATATATATATAGAAGCTATAAACAGATGTGTAGGTTAGCAGATTTTTCTTGGCAGACAATAATTCATTAAAAATAAAAAAATCAAACAGAAGAAGGTCAGAAACCCTTTTAACTCATCTAACTCCAACTAACAGCTATACAACCGCATTTCAACAGAATTATCTATAAAGAGTTTTCAAATCAAGTGGCGCTGTCATTTACAATAATATGCAGGAAATGTGTATTTTTTGTATCCCCAATTTGCATCAGTATAGCTGGAGATGGAGGACTGGCACAGGATATTCCCCCAAACCATTTATAGGAAGACATTCATGTTCCAGACCAGGTTTCTATGACTGAGTGGGTAAGACCTGCACGCAGAGGTCACTGCCAGTTATATACATATACCTGACATGTTGACCATGCACCCTGGCTCATGTCATAGAAGCGCTGTAGAACAGCTTCAACTTTATGGGGAGCAAGAATAGGGAAAGCCTCATATTCCTGCTGTTGGCTGGCCTTTTGCGTGCAGATGCCTATCTGCAGACCCTGCCAGGTTTTGGTTCTTTAAATATTTCAAAATACAACAAAGGTAACAGGATGGGCTTTTTCTTACATGTTCTCCAAAGCAAAGATTTCTTGTCAAATTATATTCTAACACTATTCTAACAAACACAACTGAAGCCCTCTCCACTCTGCCAGTAAACCATTTTAACTCAGTCATCAAAACAAACGCTTGCAACTACCAATTTTCAGGATGCAAACCATTTTTAAGAAAAAGTAGCATGGTGCAAGCAAAGTTGCTTTCTTAAAAACAGTTTAATGGAGATAGACAAGACATCATTTAACTCTGGAGTAAAAGACAGCCCAGACCTAAGTGTGGATATCCCACTTGGACTAATATAGCTGCTGCTTTGTAAAGCTATTTGCCAGATTACACCTGCAGTGTGTTTTTAAAGAGACAATAACACTATATCATCCAACTTGACATCTCTGAACAAACATGCAGTTAGTGACTAACACATTCTATTACAGAAAAAGTACAAAATCCCCTGAAAATTTGGAACATTTCTCTCAAAATGTAAAATTTACTATTAGCCCAGACAGCAGGTTTTTCCATTAGAATTCAATATATGAGTAGCAATATGTTAACATGCTGCAGAAGTGCCAAAAAATCTGCTCAATTGTAGAAAATTCCCAATCCCCACAACATTTCCCAAGTTTTAGACAATCTTCTCCCATCCCTGATAATTACATTCTGTTTACCTAAATCTCTATTGCAGCTTCAGGAGGGTGTCATATTCTTTACTTTTTGTTCTAAACGTTTGCGTAGACCTGCTGCAACTGTTAAAAGCCTGAGAGACAGTCTGTATTTCAGTGGTGAATGAAGAAACTCCTCTGTGTTTATGAATAGTTATTTAAATGCTTTGGGATGTTTTGGAGTGAAAGGTGCTATAACTGCCTGCTATGGGCACCCGGGAAAATCCAACGTAAATGTCGTATAACAACAAGTAAACCTGGATTTAAAATTAGAAGAAACAAAAAGAACACTACTGCCAAAGTGGACAACAGCTTTTGCACAATTTCATTAGTATTTGTAAAGAGTATGAAAAGAAATCCATAAATCCACCTAATCTGCACAAACAATCGTAGCTATAAGCACCTCAACGGGAAAGAAAACATGCTTCCACTTTTGTTTGCAAGTTTTTCATACATGGAGGTTTTGGATACTTTTTAAACAGACATGGATCTCCTTTCTGGAAAAAATGAACATTCAACCCTTTGAAATCCAGGCCATACATTGGATTGCCTAGCTTTAGACACAAGGTTTTGCATTGATTTGAGGGTTGCAAGATTTGAGAGAATCAGAGTGAGAGGGTTACATTGCTAAAAGAACTAATATGTATTGTTAGCACAATTCTATGAAACATCATGTTTTGAAAATGTAAGGATCTTTACTTTTTATTTGGCTTTCCCACCAGAATTTTTCCTTTTCTTCTCAGTTGCAGAAAGAAAAGCCCTCACCTAATTGCTCATGGCAAAGCTGCCTGTAAAGGGATCCATTACAGAAGCAAAGGGAGAAAGAAACAGAAGCATTTGGTACTAAAGGAAAATAATCTGCTGTACACAGAAAAGTCACGCAGCTGATGGAACTGCAGTCAGCCTAGAGAGGCTATTGAAAAACACCTGCAAGCTCCCTCAAGAGACCTTTACATATATTCATAAAGGAATAAAGAGCTCCCTGAAACATTTAATAAGGCAGGCAAAACATAATCCGAACAAAAAGTCTAATGTCTTCATGATATAAAGAGAAAGATCTTATATAATGAGAATCAATTTCGCCTCACTAATCAGTTTTCATCATTAATCCAGCATTACCTTGCTGAGAAATATTTCTTTTATGTAAAGATGACATACTTCTGCTATGCTGGGACTGGTGGAAAGAATAGGCTTTGCTTCTTTCAGGGGAGTAGCTCCTACTGCTGACACTGGAGCCGGATCTGCTGTGTGGAGAATCCCTTCGGCTCACAGGCGATTCCCTGAAGAAAGGAGAGTCCCTCTTATGAGGGGATCTCTCTCTCAAATAATGAGAAGGATAGAAGCTTTTTCTTCTTAAGCCATCTCTGATGTCCCTTTGAAGGTAGCAGAAAAGATAAAATTAATTACTTCTCCATACTCTGTTTATAGAAATTACAGAAATCTAAAAGTTCATAACTGGCAACAAAATAGCAAATTTCCATCTCTGTAGTAAGTAGAAATAGGTCAATCATTCTCTACACAGTAAATCTGAGACCTCCAGTATCATTAAGTACTAAGTAATTCTTGGGCCAACTTAAATTGGTCAAATAAAAATTGTTAATCATATGTTAAATGTAAGGAGATTTCTTCAGGTTTTCATTCAGTTCAACAGATTTTAGAACCGGTTCCAGCGTCTCCTCATCCAATCCTCCACCTCTCTTATACTAGTTGGTAATTTACGCAAACTACTAAAGATATATTAATAAAGAGTATATATTTGAAGGGTGAAAGAAATATTCACACAAAATGCAACTGGATGCACCTTTAGTATTTTACATTTTTTTCTCTTGCACAGTCATTCCACTCCCCCCTTTTGGACACTATCCAAGTTTTAATATGAAATTAATTAAAATAAAAACAAACCCAGAGAGGAATCAGTAAGATGCATACATAAGTACTGCTCACAATCTTTCACTGTGGTAACTCTCACTAACTCACTCTTAATATTTAAGTTCTTTGGGGTACTTGTCATTTTAATTTGTTTGTAAAGTGCCATGAACATAAATGATGCTGTATGCAATAATTCTGATTTCAAGCTGTAATAATTGCAAAATTATAATTAGGGCTGCAAATCTGACATGTAATTTTTAATCAAAAATCATGGAGCAGTAATGATAAATTTACTCTAAGTCATGGGTTTAGTGCCTGATCCGTGATTTTGATTAAAAAATGCCCTGACAAATGAGGGGGTCATCCACCACCTGGAAGAGCACTCTTTGCCCCAGGACCACAACTCTAATCCCAGCCCATTGAGGGGAGGAAACCCAGGGGGGGATGGAGGTGGGGACTGGAGAGTGAGCCTGCCCCATGTTCACCCAGGCATCGGCAGCTCCTGTGTACCCTGTGGCTGGGCCTGGGGTTTGAGAGAGCCTGTTCCACACTCACCCTGGGCACAGGCAGTGCCACTTGCTCAGGCTTGACCCTGCTGCCCCTCCGTCATCATCTGGGGGAGGCATTGTGAGAGCCAGATTTGAGTGAGTGGTTCGGTAATCCTGTGTATCAGGTCACAATGCCTGAAACAGGTAGCCAGGCTCAGCCCCATGGGACACAGGAGCCACTGCTGCAGGGTGAGTTGTATTAATTAATTGTTGTTTCTGGTGGCTTAATTTAAAAAGAAATACGTTTGAAAAAAGAAGAGTTGTGTACATGAGAACTGATTAAATACGCAATAACCACCATTATTATTACCACCATAGCACTTAGGAGCCCTGTTATGACCATCATGTAGATGCCTGAATGTATGTGAACTTAGTAATTATACATATTAGTTAAGTGATAAATACTTCAGAATTACTGTATATTTCACCAATTTTTAACAAGCATAGTATTTGAAAAACTTTAACAGCTCCAGATACAATCTAGCGTGAAAACTCTCATTTTCCAAGTTCTAAAAGTGTATAATTTACCTGAGTTTTCCATAAAGGAGCTGTTAGGATACACAGATAAATAATATGGAGCAATTGTTTATAATGACATGCATATAAGAAATATGAAGAAACAGCTATTCAGTCACATTCTGAGATTTAAACTGGGTGTTTAAAATTTCTATAGTGTACAAACACAGACAACTTTTGATTTTTCTTAAATAAACAAAACACAAGCTTTCAGGCAGACTGGTACACCACGTTTCTGCCCAAAGCAAATTTTTATGAGCAAGTTATTAAACCCCTATAAACAGAGGACTTTATTATGGAAATGTTTACAGAACCCCAACTGTTACATATCTGTAATAAATACTCTAATATTCATTCAAGCATTTACAAAATATTTCTAAACAAATCTTCATTAGATCAGAGAGCAAAAAATGATGGGGGGAAAAAACAATGACTGCAAGAGTGTGATGGATCAAAAACGAAATATTTTGAATTTTATTTTTATTCATGTTTTTGTCATTCTTCATTTATATTGTTAAACTAGCCTTGCTGAACTGTAATAATACAAGCAATTAAATAAAAGAATTTCTGAACCATACAGCAATAACTTCACACTTCTGATCATATTATTAATGCAACTAAACTTGTTAAACTGAACAAAACCGCTCGAACAAGTTTTTATTTATTTATTTCCAAACATATATTCCTTCCCCAATGTGAATACACTGGAATATGTCTGCAGCTCAGCAATTAAGACACCATTTCAGCAAAGCATATGCTTGATATTTCAGCATGTGCTTAAATGGTCTGCTGAATAAGGATGGATTTAACCACTAATTCTCTGCTGAATTGGGACTTTAATGCAGGACTAAAATCCCTTTAATGATTGAATTTAATCTCCATATTTGACACAAATAACTCTTCAGAGTACAAATGAATTTTCTATGTAATATTTTAAGACAGCGTATTGACATTTTCATCTCTACACAAACTAACCTTCACACACACATTCTGATAATCTTGGGCATAAGTCACTCTTCACATTTTAAAATTAAACACAGTTATTCCCTTATTTGTCAAACAAATTGAGATACCCCAGATTCGCTGAAGTTCTGTCAGCTACGTAAGTTATCTATTCCTGCCAGCTTGACTACCAGAGGCAACATTTTAACAAAACAAAAACACACACACAAAGGAAGGGTGGTAGCATCGGGGGAGTGCCAATATTCAAGTGCCAATAGCGGCCTTCTAGTTAGGTTATGGAGGTGAAAGGAGATGTGGGAGTGGGAAATCAGTTTGGAAGGGAGTAGAGCTCAGCTATGACAAACCACTGAATTAACGTGAATACCTATAAACAAAGCTGCATGTTAGTTGTCCAGTATAAGGGTGAAGATCTGTGCGGTGGAAGGAAGATGACTGAGGCTGACGAGGAATTGGTGAGTTGAATATAGAGGGGCTGCTTTATCATATAAATGCTTTTTTCTTTGCTTGTTAAGGGTTTCATTGGTGATATACACAGCCTAGCAACCTTAACTCAGAGTTAAAGACATGAGCAAGTATGTGTGATAGATCACAAACGTACTTTTCCATCCTGAACAAATAAATAAAGGGATGTGAATATACAAATGTTTATTGTTTTACTACACCTCATTATACCTCCCAACTTTCACATAAACGTGACACCAGCCATCAATATAACAAGTGACCAAAATGTGGAGTACTTCTCGTTTTTTTGCATGTCATGTCAGAATGGACAGTTTTTCTTTTTAACTGCAACACCTGTTTTTAAAAGATATTTTTGCAGTGTGTGAATTAAAATCAATGCGGTTTTATTTATTTTTTTAATAAAGAAAACAGGGTACTCAAGGTAAGGTTACAAGGCTTTCCTCAATAATAAGGCTATTATATGCACATAAATATATGTAGTCAAGAATGGAAGAGGTAGATTTTAACTCAATCTCCTGGTTCCTGGCCCTGTGAACTTTCCCCAAGATTAAGGGGTTTTCTGATGGGAAGATATGTGTCTCATCCATAGAACATGGCCTGAATTAGCAGTGAAGCATAACAGGGAGCTTGACTCAGATGAAATGCAAAACATCCCATCAAATCCATTACACCTCATAAGTCTGAGCTTCCCAATACACATTGTAGTCATTTTATAGTTTAAACACCCACACAAACAGTTCAAGAATCAAGAACTTCTCCTCCTCTAACATTCTACAAGTCTGAGAAAAATGAAATCAGAACATAAAGGAGAGGGATCCAGATATGTTAGTATTTCTCCCAGAACTCAGTAAATCTTCCTGTTAAGATCAATATGTATACTGAAGTAAATCACCAACTGCAGTTTACTTATTATAATCCTTTGTTTTTTCCTAAGATCTTAATCAATCCCATACTGATTTATCTTCTACTATACTATACATCTGGTCCCAGTGACCTTTATTTGAACTCTCAACATATTACAAACAATGACAGACTTCTCATATCAATTGGCCCAGCAACGTTTTATAGTCAAGCAACTTTTTACAGTATTTAAATTAGGGATGCTTAGCTCAGTGTTAGCTCAAATAAAATTCACGTACTAGGTCTTGTTAGTTTAATCTTATCAATAGCTTTAGAGTGGTTTCCCTAATTCACATGAAGAGGGGTGCAAACAAGTATCTGATTATGGGCCACACAGATAATCAATATGCACTGCTCTTGTGGACTGCATGTTTAAAATATGAGTAAGTTACACTTTAATTCTAATTTCCATGTTGTGCAAGCCATTGTACACTGTTCAGGTCACTGTACTGAGCCCAAAATTTGCCATTGCTTACACCAAAACCAAGTAGAAAGTCTGTCAGACCTTCCAGTATTTTTCTGGTGCCATCACAATCGGAGGGAATATGGACGATTAGGACAACATGAGGAGGATTTGGATATCCTTTTTCTAGGACTGTATAACTAGACCGGGTGCAAACTTAAAACTGAATTGGGAAGCATGTTATTCCTGTTTCTACTTAGCAGTGGTGAAAACATCCTCTCCCTTTTCTAGGCCCTGTCAGTGAAGTAGCTTGGTAGCTATCCCACCTGCTGGAAACAGCAAAGTGACGAGGAGTCTGAGATGGCAAGTCATAAAGGGATGTTGCAACTCAGAAGTTCATGTTTTCTGTCTCCATCTGCTGACAGGAGAATCTACTGCCAAACATGTGGGGTGGTATAGAAGAACAAAGAATAAGAAATATACAGCCGGGCATAGGGTTGCCAGGCGTCCAGTTTTCGACCGGAACACCGGGTCAAATATGGACCCTGGTGGCTCCAGTTGACACTGCTGACCGGGCTGTTAAAAGTCCGGATGGCAGCGCAGCGGTGGCCCAGGGCTAAGGCAGGCTCCCTACCTGCCCTAGCTCCGTGTGGCTCCCAGAAGCAGACGCCAGGTCCTTGCAGCCCCTAGGCACATGGGTGGCCCGGGAGGC